TACGGAAGGAAACAAAAGCATACATTCATACACGGGGGCAGCAAATTGAAACACAAGCGCAAAAAGGACGAAAGGCATTCATTCATAAGGAAAAGGAACGAAGGCAGACAAAACATGGAGGCACATTCATTCATATAAGAAGCCCGGAGGCATATTGCATTCATTAAAAAAAAAACAGTGTTAATAAAGGATGTTTGTTTACAAATAAGGCCGAGGCCGAGGCCTACAACTATTACATCAAAATATGGCGAGTAAAATCTCAAGCCTGGCCCCCCCCGGTGACGTCATCCTTCAGTTTCGAGGCTGCATCATCCTCAGCTTCTTCCTCATCATCCGAGGCCAGCTTGTCCATCTCTGAGTCCTCGAGCAAAGGCCTCTCCTCGCCTTCGGGCATGGGGGTTTGGAGGTCAGGAAGCAGAGGGGGAAGACCAAACGGAGCCGGGTCGAACTCTTTCGGGTCCACCCCATGGTGCCGGGCCAACTTGCGATAAATCAGGGCTTGAGTGAAGTACTGTCCGCCTTCGAAGAAACTTTTGCCTTTCAGCGCCAACCACATGGCCCCGGACCCCTTCACCCAGCCATCGGCAGATGCCTCCACCACTGAGGCCACCCACTGCTTCTGCTCTTCGGCCTTCCAGCCGTCGGCAATAAAAGCCGCCACCGCCTCCTCCCTGGCCTTAGAGATAGCTTCCGCTTTAGCCTCCTCAGCCTTCTCGGCGGCTATCCTAGCGGACTCAGCAGCGGCCCTCTCGGCTTCAGCTTTCCCCTCGGCCCGGGCTTCCTCCTTGGCTGCCTCCAGTTTCTTCTCCGCCTGCCGGAGGGCCTCCTCCAAATTCGCCAGCTGCCGAATGGCCTCAGTATTGTTGGCCACCAGCTTCCTCGTCACCTCGGCGGATTTAGCCCTCTCAAGGCGATGCTGCTCCGCCCTACGAACCAGTTCCCCGAAGGCCAGGCTCGCCTGCAAACATATAAGGAGGCACTCAATATCAGATTGTTCAAAGGAAGGAAAAGAAAAGAGGGATTAAGGGCGCAAAAAATCTAAACACTTACGGTGGCCGAAGCTTGGAGAGCCTTGAGTTCGAGGGCTTCATCCCCAAACCGGCTGAGGGTGGACCGATCTACCGAGGGAGTGGCACCCTTCAAGAACTCCCTCGGGTCGAGGGTGCCATGCATGATGGCTGTTCCCTTTTTGATTGGGAAGTGTACAGTCTCAAGGGGCCAGGCCCCCTCGACAAGATCCTCCAGGGGAGCAGAGGCTGACGGTTGGCCGGCGGGGGGATCGTCAATGATCACCAGGGGGGTATCCTTTGGCTCGGCGTCCCCCTTCGATTTCTTCCTTTCCGGAGGCTTGACGCCCTTCCCGGCGTTTTTCCGCTTGAGCTCCCCCTCCTTGGAGCCTCCGGCATCAGTACCGGCACCAGCGATTGCAGTCCCCTTCGGGGGGCCTTGGCCCTCAGGGGTCTCCTGCTTCTTCAAAAGGGCGTCCACCTGCGGTTGCGTCGGAGGCCTCTCCTCCTTCTTCTTCTTATCCTTGGCCAGTTGCCGGGACAGCTTAGAGAAAGCTTTCGGATCCATGAAATCGCCTGCAAAAGAACAAGGAGTTAGAATCAAAAGCAAATCAAAGACTTACGTCTCTAAGCACTAAACAACAAGGGCCCTCGGCAACCACCTCTGATACCCGGAGAGCCCCGGTCAAGGAGAGGATATCTCTCATCCTTCTCCCCCGGCAAGCGATACCGCTGAAATTCTAATTTGAGCAGCTCCTCCGGAAGCGTGGCGGCCTTGATAGTCGTCAGCTTTTCTGAACCAGGCGGCTTCGCCTTCAGCTTTCTCCCATTGGCCTCAAGGGCAGCGTTGCCCACCTTAGGGTGTCTCTGAAAATGGTTGCGAAGAGGCCTCGGGAAGGTCACTCCCGGCATCCTGAGGTAACAGAAACGGTCCCTCCATCCCTTGTGAGACGAAGGCACCTCCGAGAAAAGCCTCCACGCCGGCACTTGTTGGAGGTTGGCGAAGCCCTCGCTATTGGCAGCACCCCCTCGACACAGGTTGAAGGATAGAAAAAATTGATCCAATGTGGGGACAACCCCTCGGCTTCGACATTGCGAGAGAAACCCTGTGATGTACGAATGACTATTCGGGGTCAGTTGGCAAGGAGCGAGACCCACGAACCGAAGGTATTCCACCAGAAAAGGGTGGAGCGGGAATCGGAGACCCAACTCCACCGAAAGGATGTGCACCGCGTAACAGCCCTCTGGAGGATGCAATAACACATCGTCAGGCCCCGGAACCACCACCTGTGCCGACGGACCGACCAACAGTTGAATTTTGAGATACTCCGCCTCCCCGGCCTTCGTTTTCAATTCGAGGGCGGCGGTGTTGAGATACGAGTGGCCCTCGGGTATTCCCACCGGTTGACCTGCGTCGATAGCAGCCTGCTTCTTCTTCGTGGCCGCCTGGGTCTTCTTCTTCTTTTTCCCGGGAGCGACGCTTATCGGTTCCGGATCTAGGGGCCGGGAGCTACTGGCTTCGCCGGCGCCACGAAGGGGGAGTGCGGCGACGGTCATCCTCTGCCGCTCTTTCTCCTCCTCTTCCTCGGCGACTTGGAGCGCGAGGGCAAGCTCTTCGTCTTCCGCCACCTGCTCGAAGTCCTCCGCCTCCAGCTCAGTCCGAAGGGTGTCTTGGACTTCCTCGGCGATGGCAGCGTCATTGTTGACCGACGAGTGGTCACTTGAGGACTCAACCTCGGAATAGCTCTCCGATTGAACCGGGGCCTCCACGGAAATATCTTGGGAGTCGCTGGCCGAAGACATCTTCGCGAGAACAGGGAAAAGGGGGAATATAAGAGAACTAACTGGAGGCTCCTAAGTATTCCCTAACACTAGATTTAAGGCCAGTGAAGCGAAATACGCTAAGTGTGTGGGAAAGGAGGAAGAACTGACCTCAAAGATTGCGTTTGATCGAAGGCTGAAGTTTCTCTCTCTAGAAAAAATGGCAGAGCTCCGCTATCTCTCTAAGTTCGCACAAGAACAAATGAGCTCAGGCTCAGGGTATTTATAGGCAGTGGGCCTCGAGAACTGGGCCTCGATTTGAAAAGCCCATCATTACGGGCCGCCGCCTCAGCCTATGAATGACAGCCGCCCACCCCCAACCAACAAGGGCACGCCACGTCAACCCCTCCTCCAACGGCTATATTACAACGACTATATTCCGGCACCACTGAAGTGCCTTCGAATGATAGCCTCCGGCTATCACCCGCCACACCCTACGGACAAATAATTCCACCAAACGCCTTCGAGCCCGTAGCAGTATAAGCCTTCGGCTTGTCAATGTTATCACCCCTCGGGGGATCATCAACTCATCATAACTCCTTCAGCCCGAACTTGCCTTCGGCCTAAAGGAGTGGGAGACTGGGATACACCCCTCGGGGATCATACACAACCAAAAATTCTTCATGCAACAATTTACAATTGACGCATACGGCCTCCGGGCAAACATCACAATACATGCAGACAAGACATCTATGCTTTCCTCAGAAAACCCTCGACATGTGGGGGACTGAGGGAAGCCTTCGGCAATCAACAGAAGACAAGTTCTCAAACAAAGGCACCCAGACAGGCGATGAAGCCCCCGGAAGAATCATCACATCTACTCCTTTTCCCTCAAGTACCTTTCGGCAAAAGGAGTGAGGGACTCCTGATGGAGTATATGGCCCAGGAACCCCCGGCCCAAAGACTCCTACTAATCTATCACAAGCCCAACAAGCTCAAGGAGCTCAGGAGGCCCAAGATTCGGCGGCCCAAGCGTCAAGAAGGCCACGGTACACACAGGGATGCCTTCGGCCACCTTGGCCGAAGGCTCCAGAACTCACAGAACCGCCATATTCGACCATGCGAAGCTACTGGGAGAAATTGACAGAGAACGGGAGCCCTCGGCACTATGGAGCCCTCGGCACCAGGGGAATCCCTCGGCTCAGCCAAGCCTTCGGCTACACAAGGAGCCCTCGGCTACGCAAGAAGCCTACGGCTGAACTAGCTCAATCATCGAAGATTCCTTTTAGAGACAGCCAACCACCGCATTTAATGCCACGTCGCATCCGCCAACCGCATTCAATGCGGTTGACGTACCACTGCCAGCACCACTAGGCTGATGTGACCCTTCGGCCGTTGGATTACTGACACGTGTCCCCTCATCGCATTTATTGCTGCTATAAATAGCAGCCTATTTCTCCTTGTAATGGACACAACCTACATCTCAACTCCACGCTGAGTTCATTTAATAAAATCGACTCTCTCTCCTCCTATTTACTCTGACTTCTCTCTAGTTATTCCCGCAATAACCCCTCGGATAAGATACCCCCCGGGTAGACTATCCATCATAAGTGTATATGACTTATTGGTGTATATCATGTTTGCGCAATTTTAGAACTTAATTAATATGGTTTAGATTTTATCTCTCACGTCCAACTATAAATTAAATTAGAACTAATATTTAACCAAATACAAAGAAGAAGAACGATGAATTTTTCTATTACATTCAACAACTTGATGATATTCTTTTTATACATTAACATGAACATAGTAAATTTAAGATGATATTTATTTCATGTATAATCATTTTGCTATACTTTTGCTTAGTTATGTTGGACTATTTGTGTGTTTGTGAACTTTAGTACTACATATGCAGTTTCTTGTATTTATATCAAAATTTCATGCGGGTTGGTTGGTATTATGATATCTACTAATTGCAAGATTTGTCCAATTTTTTTAGCATGTGTTTGGCATTGTACCGTACCGTTTTGTACCGTTTCGAAACGACATGGTACCGAATGGTTCCATCTTTAGAACCGGACCATACCGGACTGTTAGAAACCTCGCGAATACATTACGGGTTTTACTAATTTGCCGAACCGTTCCGGACCGCGTCCACCCCTACTTTATAGACTTTTCCGTTCTTAATAAAAATCCACTTATTAAAATTAATATCTTCTACCGATATCAACCGAATATAAAATTTAGCGTCATCTTTTTAAACAGTTCCGTGCCATTCCTGATTTCTTGTTGTGAAATACAGAAATGCACCGTTATTTTTAGAATTTAGGAAAGAGAAAGATAATTGTCGGTGACGGTGAGTGGGTTTCTCCTTGCCGTTCTCTATCTTCAGAGACTTATCTTCACGGTTTGATCATTTTGGCTGTAGTCTCTGTAACCGGAAATGAAACTCGGGTCAGGAGGATCTGGCGTAGTCGGTCTGTTCTAGCCTTAAAAGTTCAATCTTTAGTTTTTTCATTAGATCTTTGCTCGTTTTGCAGTCCCGATCCATATGTAAATCACATACCTGCTAATCTTTCAAGTGAATTAGCAATTGGGCTCATGAAATCCAATCTATGCCCGTCTTTTTCTCGTTATTCATTAAACTTTTGGTTAATTTAACTGTTTAAGTATGTTCTTTCTTGTTTTGATTGGATATCTGCGTTTATATCTGGCTGTGTTCGATGTTGATTGCTAGAAAGTTGAAGCAGTATCTGTCTTCTATCGTGACCAGTTGTTTGGAGATGGGCACACCCAGATTGGTTTTGAGTGATCTTTTTGTCAAGAAGTTTAAATTTTATTTGGTTGAAAGTTGAAGTTTTCAATATGATATCTGGTTTAATTATTTTTTATACTGGGTTTCAAATCTGTGTAATTATTGAACTATAGGTAATGCAAAAACTTTGGACACTGAATTAAATTTTAAAGTATTGTGTAGCTAAATACGGAGTATGGATAGTAGATCTAATTAATTAAAACTATTTTCCTAAACATTTATACGGAGTATATGGAAGCGTGTTAAGGTTTAAGAAAGTAGTTTTTATGCAGAGTTGAAATCCCTAACAAATGGACTCTTGCGTTGCAAAGCCTAATTGCAAAGTCTGACATTCATGCGAAATGCTGAAGTGCTAAAGTAACCTAGCTAACCATTTTTAGAGTATAGACTTCTGAAGGAAATAATCTTTTAGTCATTAGAGTAATGCCTCTCTACAGAACATTCTGGAAGTATCTGTGGACACAAATAATGGTGATAACTGATAACTCCCATTTTTTTTGTAAAACAGCAAAGGGAACTAAATCATATTGTTATCCTTATGTTTTGGGCCAATTGCTTAATGAAAGGAAGAGTTAAATTTGACTATTATCTCCCCTCACTCCTCAAAGGGGGAAACATCTATAAAGGAATATGCCCATGTGCCTACTTAATGGAGATTTCGTAATATTAATATGGGAATACCTTCCATAATTTCATGCCATATATCTTTGTCATTGATTAAGGTTGTAACAATGTTAATAATATACTACTATACTAGTATAGAGTTTTGGTGTTCAATGTTGATTGTACTATACAGTTTGCACCATTGAGTTTGTTAGCTTTGTCTAGAATGGATTGCATATATGGCTGTATGGATACCTATTTGCATTAATATACTTTGTTGTGTGGTTCATATCTACTAAAATGATCACTGCTTAGCCATTTTTGGCTCAACATCATCAATATCATTAACACTATAGAGTCTTGGTAAAAAGCACATTGAAAAATTTATACTATCGTATATTGGAATTCCATTATGTCTAAACTTTCCTAAAGAGAATAATGACATGAGATTCTAAAACCGTTTTCATCATAGTTTCCCTCCTTGCATGGAAGGTTTCCGGGGAACTGCATTTATGATTTATCTAAGCATGAGATAGATCTGTTCGGTTATGTTTTTCTAAGCTGAGAAGAATGACCTTTTCTGAAGAATGACTCTTGAACCTGCTCCAAGATACATGTATTATTCATACATCATTATCTGCTATGTATTTGCAGTCCCTAGGAATTTTAGGTTGCTTGAGGAGCTTGAACGTGGGGAAAAAGGCATTGGAGATGGTTCTGTCAGCTACGGAATGGATGATGGTGATGATCTTTACATGTGTTCTTGGACTGGAACCATAATCGGTCCGCCTAATGTAAGTTGTTGTTTACTCCTATTTTTATATCATTTCTTTCTTTTACATTATTCACTCTAAATATCCTGGGCTTTAATATTACATTATTTCTTGCAAGAAAATATAAGAAACTATATACGCTCTTTCCCTAAAAAGTCCTGTTTAAAATAATTCTCTTGTTCCAAAAAAGGAATGTTCATTGATCACTTGAAGTTAATTTATCTTGTACTTTTCCAAAAAAGTTACAATTACATATGATTGATGAATTTAGTAAAACCGACTAAAATAGGTATAAACAGAGTCCTCGTTAATCAACTGGATTCAGAAAACATGAAGGCATACCCTTTACTTTATACGGAGTGATAAACTGTGTATTATATTTTCATAGGTTAATAAAAGTTTGTTATAATTATTCCTTCAGTTATGATATTCGATCTTAAGATTTGATACTGTTCTTCTGTCAAGGACATAGACAACATGCATCTATAGTGCTTATCAGCTTATATACTAAAAAATAATAATAAAATCTTGTACTCTGTATTGCTTTTCCATTGACAAAGAAAAGTTTGTCTCGGAAAGTGTAAACTTGATTCTGTTTCTTCTCCAAGGAAAGACATATGATGTGCTAAGTCATTATCTTTAATTGTAGTAAGACAGAATTTTATGAATAACATTAAAGTCCACTAGTTTTGGTATGTTTTTGATAGACTATATAGACTCGGACCCCCCCGGGTCTCACGACTATCGGGCCCGGACAGCGGCCCACACACGCTTAGCGGATATTATTCATATTATTGTACAATTCAATATGTATTTGTATCTACTAGATTAACCTTTTATGTAGTTGGGCCTATCGGGCCGATATTAGCGGTCTGGCCCGCTCTCTCTGTATATACTCCCTATGGAAACATTGTAACCCCAATTCCATATTCATTAATAATACACTATTCATCTTCTTCTCCAATTCTCTAGCTCAACTCTCCATTTATTATAGTTTGGATACCCCATAATCCATCAGTAGTATATTCTGTTCATATACACTCACTCATCATTACCAGGTATTTCTATATTCATTTACAGACTGTACATGATGGCCGAATTTATCAACTGAAGCTGTACTGTGACCAAGATTATCCAAATAAGCCTCCAAGTGTTCGCTTCCATTCGTGTATCCGCATGACCTGTGTGAACAGTGAAACTGGAGTGGTAATATAAACTTGACTTCTGGTTCATGTTTTATATTTTTAAAATAAAAAAATATAAAACAAAAGGGTCATCTAGAGTCATCTTTTTTGACAGGTTGAACAAAATAAGTTTGCAGTTCTTGCAAATTGGCTGAGAGAGTATACAATGGAAACCATCTTGATTCAGCTGCGGAAAGAAATGGCTGCACCGCACAACCGGAAGCTCCCTCAACCGGCAGAAGGAACCTTTTACTCTTAGCTGAAACTTCAAGCATTCTACTAGGTCTAGTATCTTTCACTGTCTGTTGTTATCAGAGAAAGATGGAGATGTAAGACTATATATGACCATCTTACATGTGTCTATACATACTTCCGACTCTATGTCCAAATGAATGTTAGAACTAACTAACATGGTGAACCTTAGTCAGACTTTTTCTTCTTTGTTCTACTGCCTCCCTCCCAACCATTCTCATAAGCTGCATTATATCTTAATTTGGATTCTTCCTTCATTTTTCATTTACTGGCAGTGGCGGACCGAACATGGGGGCTAATGGAGGATCCCCCCCCCCCAATTTTTTTCCTAGGTATATTTATTCCGAAATTTTAATATGTATGTCTTTATATGTATTTTTTACATTGCCGCCCCTCCTAGCTAGAATTCTTGCGTCCGCCGTTGTTTACTGGTTTATAGTTGCATCTTCTCGGAGTTCTTTCACTGCCGCTCATTAATTTATACAAAACTCACGTTTTTTTGGAAAACATGTCCAGAGAAAGCTACATACAGTGAAATCGCGTTTGTCCAGCATAGTGGTGGACTCGGGTCGGGCCGCCCGGCCCATGGACCGGACCGGTCCGCTACTGTGCGGGACCGTGACCGGCCTGGTCCGCTACTGTGCGGGACCGGGACCGGCCCGGTTCTTGGGTCCGGGTCGGGCCACATTGATTTTTTTTTTGCCCCATTTTTTGGGGTTCCACCCGGGTTGGGCTTGATGGTTAGGAGGGGTTTGGGTGGGTGGGTGAGGGGGGAGGGGTTAGGAAAGCAAAAAAAAAAAAAACCCAAATCGGAGGCCACGGCTCGGATTGGACCAGGTGGCTACCCGGGCCGGTACCGGGTCCACCAATCCTGAACCGCCAGCCCGCCCAGGCCTAGACCCGATCCGGACCCGGACCCGGCCCGGCCCGGGTCCATCACTGGTCCAACATAGGGGTAGGACAAATAGGTCTCGTTCGCGAAACGGAACAATGTTTCGATATAGTTTTAAAATATAAATAGAGCATGCACCAAACATTTAGATAGCCAAAGATAGAATTTCATGCCAATGCTTCACATTTCCAACTAGGGGTGGACTCGGGCCGGGCCAACTGGCCCGGAACCGGACCGGCCCGCTACTGTGTGGGCCCGGACCGGCCCGGTCACCCGGTTCTTAACCGGTTCGGGCCACCCGGCCCGGTGGTATAGCGGTCCGGGCCCGGGCCTCCATTTTAGGGAACCAGGCCGGGCCGGGCCGGGCCCGGTTCGTGCCTCCAACGACCAAATTTTTTTTTAATTTTTTTTTTTAAATTTGAAGAGGCTCCTAGCCATTGGGAAGGCTCCCAGACGGCTCTATAGCCGTTGGGAGCATAGGAGGGGGGGTCTGGGGGTTAGGGGGGTGGGGTATAAAAAAAATCTATTTAAACTCCTATTTTCTCTACATTTTTTACACCTCTTCTTCTAGAACTCTTCCTACTCTCTAATTCTCTACTCTAAATCTCTCATATTCAATCATCTTCATTCTTCATCTTCTCCAAATTCTTTCTACATATATATAATTTATATAATTATTATATCTACTTATATATTAATTATCTATTTATAAATATATACTTATACACATTCATATTATAATTCTTTACACATTATATATACTATATAAGTATATATACTATACACATTCATATTCACTTGATATTTAGTTATTATCCATACTATTGTTATTTACTTATATTTACATATTACATTTAGTTAATATATACTTTAATATATATATATATATATATATATATATATATATATATTAAAGTATTAAGTATAAGTGTATTACTCATCTTATAGTAATATACTTATATATTATATACTATAAACATTATATTATATATTACTTATAATATATTTACACATTATATATACTATATATTCTTATACACATTCATATTTATTTGATATTTAGTTTTTATACATACTATTGCTATTTACTTATATTTACATATTACATTTAGTTAATATATACTTATATATATATATATATATATATGTATTAAAGTATTAAGTATAAGTGTATTATTCATCTTATAGTAATATACTTATATATTATATACTATAAACATTATATTATATATTACTTATAATAGTAGTTAATTGTTAGACTTCTCATTTATCTATTAAATTAGTTAATTGTTACATTTCTCTACATTTCTCTTTAAAGAAAAAAATAGTTAAAGTAGTATATGTTTACATTTGTCATATTTCAATTAGTTAAAGTACTTAATTGTTTCATTTGTCATATTAAAATTAGTTATTTCATACATTGCTCATTAAAGTAAAAAAACTAGTTAAGTTTTACATTTGTCATAATAATATTAGTTAAACTACTTAATTGGTACATTTTTCATATTAATATTAGTTACTTGCTACATTTCTCATTAAAGTAAAAAAAGTAGTACATTTTTACATTTGTCATATTAATATTAGTTAAAGTATACATTTCTCATTAAGGTAAAAATAACTAGTAAATTTTTACATTTGTCATTTTAAAAACTACCTAAAGTAGTTAATTGTTAAATTTGTCATATTAATATTAGTTAAACTACCTAATTGTTACATTTCTCATATTAATATTAGTTAATTTGTACATTGCTCATTAAAGTAAAAAAAAACTAGTTAATTTTTACATTTCTCATATTTATATTAGTCAAACTAGTTAATATTTAGTTAATTGATACATTTCTCATTAAAGTATTAATTAGAAGTAGTTCGATTTTTATACTCATATTTTAGTTCGAATTTGCAATAGTTTTCTTAGTCACATTTTATTATTACTATTGTACTCATATAAAATATTTGATATCATTTAATATTTGTTCAATTTTAAAGATGGAACGTGGTAGATGTGGGTAATCTCCAACGCAACCGCAAGAGGGAGATTGCGTCGACTCGTCCTACTTCACGCAAAGGCAAAGGTAAAGCGCGGGCCGAGTCTTCTTTTCAAAGTCGAGATGATTTTGAAACGGATTACCAACGGAGAGATGATATGATGATGTCCGACGAGCATCTACAAAACCTATTGTCCCAAAACGATCCACGCTTTGCACAAGAACAACCCATCCCGACAACCATTGATGAAGAGGAGCTCGAGGATGACGATGCGGAGGAGGACGCGGGGGGCGACGGGACTCACGGCACCCCGGATGATGAGCAAGACTTGGAGGACGAGGGCGGTTCAACCCAAACTGGTAAGAAATCTAAATCTCCTATTATTGAAAACAATTTTACAAAAAGGAAAGACAAAAATACCGAAAAATGGTACGCAAGTTGCAATCATTGCGGCAAAGAGTATAGCTTGGGAACTTCTGGCGGATACGGGAGTCTCACAAGGCATCTTAAGTCCGCCCATCTTGTGGAGTATGCGAAAATAGACAAGGGCAAGGGGAAGCAAACACAAATATCGAGGTTTGCAAATTCTCAACCCTTTGGTAATTTCTCCTATGATGATCAAAAACATTTGACTGGTATGTCTCATTTAATTGTTGAAGAAAATTTACCCTATATTTTTTCCGAAAGTCTTGCTTTAAGAGATTATGCTCAAGGCACTTTAAATCCTCAATTTAGAAATTATAGTCGCAAAACGATTAAAAAAGAAGTTATAAGGCAATATAACTTCGAAAAAGAAAATTTACAAACATTTTTCGCAAACTTTAATGGACGTGTTAGTATTTGTAGTGATATATGGGAGGATACTTATCATCATTTATATTATTTGAGTCTTACTGCACATTATATTGATGATGATTGGAATATGCATAAACGTGTTCTTGCTTTTCGTGAATTCAATGATCGTCATACTGCTGATAATATTTATATTCTCATTGAGCGTATTTTAATTGAGTATAATTTGCTTGATAAGGTGTTTGCTGTAGGTTTTGATAATGCTAGTAATAATACTGCTGCTATACCTAGATTGCGTGAATTGTGTGGTGCTTCTACATTGATGGGTAGGTTTTTTCATCAACGTTGTGCATGTCATATTCTAAATTTGTGTGTACAAGATGGATTAGCGGCATTAGGACATGCTTTGGAGGTAGTGAAGGGGGGAATTAAATTGATTTGGGCTAACACTCCACTAAAAATGCAATGGCGGCAATATTTGAAAGAAAGACGTGTCAATTATTGTGCTTTTCCTAAAGATTTGTCTATTCGTTGGAATAGTACTTGTAACTTAATTCAAGTACTTATTAGATATAAAGATCATTTTCCTGCTTTTTTATGGCAAACTTGTAACTATATTATAAACCCGGCTGACATCGACAATTGTGAAAAAATTGTTAATGTTTTGGTATATTGTAATAACGCAACTCAAACTTTTAGTCATGTTTATAAACCTACCGCAAACGTATTTTTTGTTGAAGCTGTTAATCTCGCCGGCGCATTTTTAGAATTTTCCGATGCCGCTTACGTTAGTTATTTTTGTGATTTCATGAAACAAATTTTTTAAAATATTATTCACATGTTCCGCGTATATATGGTATTGCATTTGTTCTTGATCCTCGTTATAGACTTGCCGCGTTGCCAACTTGTATAGATTACTATTATAATTGTTTTTTTCCAACTCAGGAGTTCGATGATAATCCCATCGACCCTAAACAAGAATACAATGAGGTTAGTAATTTATTTCATCAATTGTATAATGAATTTTATGCACAATATGGTAATGCACCCCCTCCCATGCCGCGAACATCTTCTTCATCTAAAGGAAAATCACTTTTAAAATCTGCATTTGGTTCTCTTATGAAAAAAAAAGTAGAGCAACTCCCGCTACTGAACAAAGCTCAGTTAACGAGCTTTCTTTGTATCTAACATTGAATGTTGATTATGAAGTTGGGGATGATTTTGACGTTCTTAAGTGGTGGAAGGACAATGAAAGAACGTTCCCGGTTTTATCAAAACTGGCTAAGCAAGTGCTAGCAATGCCTATATCAACAGTTGCCGTGGAACAAGAATTTAGTGCGGCCGGCAACGTCCTAACTGATTATAGAACGAGGTTGAGCCCGAGCTCTCTTGAGACGCTAGTTTGCTTCCATGATTGGTTGAAGGCCAAACGAAGAACTCAAGAAATGACCATCGCTCCCACCCGCCACTTTATGGAGGAAACAACCACCGAAGGCGGAGATTCCGATTGATTTTTTATTTCAAAATGTATTACATATTTTAAATGCATCCTAATTCTCAATTGTACTTCTTATTTGAAATAAATATACTTGAATTATTTTATATTATTGTGTACATCAATTCAATAATTCAATTCAATAAAATTCATTTGTAAACTTGTACTTCATATGTAGCACTTCTCAAATTAATTAATTGGTTACAATTTTACAAACTTATAACTTACAACTTGAAATTATTTTTGTAAAATCTAAAGGCTGTTTTTAAATTAAAATATGTAATATTAATATGTAAA